CAACCCAACCTGATTTGATGCAAGACAGCCTTTGATTCGTGGGAGGTATAACGCGCAAAATTCAGAACATTGCCATTCAACTAATTTTGCAGTAATGTTGCATAGCAAGTTGAAGTTTTTGGTTGCCCGTTACTTTTTACTGTACCGTTATTTTGCATAAAGTCGAGTATGACCTTTGTTGAAAATGTGCTGCTTATTGTTAAGATACAGTATTGAACCCAGGCCTAATAGCCGTGCGCTTAAATCAGCCAGCTCAGTTACTTTGACGCTGTTCAAAAGAGTCTTTACCGACGTTTCGGCAATGCTGCCTTCTTCAGGGTACAAGACTAAATACGGTTGTGGCTAATTTAACGAACTTTTTAACGGTATCTAGTCTTGTACCCTGATGAAGGCAGCATTGCCAAAACGTCGGTTAAGACTCTTTTGAACAGCGTCAATTTTAAAATTTTCAAATAAACATTAAGTAACTACGCTGCGCAGGGCTTTTAATCTTTATTACACTAGTTCAATTACTTCCATCAGTTTATCGATTACCAATAAACGAATGTTCGCACTCGGAAAACCGGTTTGACCAGAATGAACGTAGGCTTGACACGATTCAGGCCAGCCCGACTCCTTTTCTCCTCTTCACTGAATATGATAATTCTCTCAAAAAACTTTAACGGCTGACAAAGTTTACCAGCAGAAAAATGTTGATTTCGAAAAGTAGAAAGTACTATTAAGCATCAAGATTAAGCATTCTTGGTCTAGCCTATCAAATTTACCCTCAGTGAAGTTGAAAAGTGAAAACTACGCTAATGAACTTCAAACTTATGCAGGTGCTTTTAAATGCGGCGGTGCCGAGAGCTTAATCCCGGAGGAAGTGGAAACTAAAAGGGAAGAAAAAATTGTGGAGAAGCTGAAGTCCAAAAGCAAAAAAGATAGGCGGAAATGTAAAGAAGTGGCAAATAAGAAACCAGAGGTTAGTAAACAGAGCTTTCGTAGCAGGCGCTTAGAAGTAATATGGTTGCGAGAAAGCACGAGGCAGGCAACGGAGACACGCGAGGGAAGAGGGAGCTCCCTATCCCCTCGCGTGTCCTCCTTGCGCGACCGTTCGTTCTTACGCTCATACATAGCGCCTATTTTATGCAGGCTAAGTAAAACAGGAAAATACTTGTGACCAAATGAAATGACCTGGCTCTGAGACCAGAATGACACCTCATTACCTTACGCTTGCGCAGAAGTCCTTAGAAGGACAAAAAATTGTCCGTGGTCGCCACAATCTCATCCCCATATCTCTTCTACTCACGAAAGTTCAGTGGAGAATGTAGCTACCACTGCCCGAGGTTATGGCTGTGCGCACATGTGATGTACTCGGCGCCGTGCTCGTATTTGAGAGGCAGCCTCCTCCTCAGGCGCTTCGTTTTTCGCAGGGCAGAGGCGAGCACGAAACGCGAGTGACTGGTGATGAACCGCAAGGGACCATGGGAAGGGTACAGACGGCGGGCGAAGCGTTGTCTCCTTCCCGCCTCCCTTTGCCCGCACATCGAAAGAGAGACGTCTGGGTACGAGGCAGTTTGAGAGGCCTGCGCGAGAATGGTGTAGCCCTGTTTGTGGCATCCCTCTTGTATACACTCGATGTAGGTCGACAGTTGCTCTTAGCCTGACCTAGTCATTTGTATTTAAGACCCTGAAGAAGGGAGGCCGTGCCTTCCGAAATATTGGTAACAAAAAATATATATTCCCGACTCTGGTAAAATACGCCTTGCTTCTTTTGCTCGATAGTATAGTTTATAGCTGATTAGATACTTTATAAGGATCCGGTCTGTCTACTTTGTAACGTTGGTCCTTACTTCCCAAACTGAAGCTCTTGACAGAAACGAGGCTGATGAAGTTCTCTATTTCGCAGGCTCCAAGACGTAAAACTTGCGTCGGTTCTACCGAAGCCCCAGCTTTCGGTAAGTTTTTTTTTTGCTATTTTCGTAACTACACTAATATAAACATTTACAGCCTATCTTTTAGTTGTTCCCGTCCCGCGGGCGAGTATGTCACGCCCGTAAGTTACTAAAGCCGGTCACGTGTGCGTTCAAAACTGCTAAAAGAGAAAGCCTGGGTGCTAGACAGTGAGCCATTTTGCGTTATCTCGTTTATTCATATTCATTCATTTGTTCTGTTTCAGATCACTTGGCCCAAACTAATCCAAAGGCTAAATCCAAGAGCGATTGAACTTGATAAGTCAGAGACCTTTACTTAAGTCGGACTCTTGAACAAATAATGGATGCAATATTTACATTTTGATTGCTTTGAATTTAATTTAGAGGTCATCATTGTTTTTTTTTTTCATTTCAGTTTAACTTTAACTTAACTTTTTTGTATTTTACAACAAAATTTATTAAACAGATAAGTCCACAGAGTTCTTTTTTAACTTGTCTTTGAAGCGTCTTGTAATGTCCCCAATTCCTCGTTAGACAGCAATTTTGAACATAACATTTGTGACAGGATGAAATTTTTCAACATACAATAAGAGTCGATATGTATTCAGAGGCTTCAGATGTGCCTGGTTGTTTAATGTCCTACATTTTGCAGCCACGAATATTATTATTATGTTATTATGATCTTCTGCGTACTTAAAATAGTCTCTTTTACTTTCATTTTGTTCTCTAACGACAGTCCAAAATCTACAGAGCACTACCGACACTGAGCCATGATTACAAAGTAATCAGACATAAATAACAAAATATACTAATTGCTATTATCCGCTTAGCTGAATGACTTTAAACATACTTTTTTGATCTTTTACAATCATCAACACATTGACTGAAATTCTTCTTGCATTTCTGAAAACCTGCTGCATTGTTTGGCTTGATTTTATCGAGGCAGGAAATCTTAACATTTGCCTGGCATGTTGTTCTACATGGATTTAACACACTCGGAGGACCCTGTCTTTTTTCGCGCAGCTGGGGCCGTCAAGCTCATTAAACTCAACAGAAAAACGGAGACCGTTAGAAGCCAGAGGAGTGGAGACTTCATGGTAATACGATGAACAACCTGGAATGAAAACTAAAAAAAAAATGACCGGGCCATAAGTTCAATTCCTTAAGCTTTGACGTCCGCAGTCCGTCCGCCCATTTTTCGCTTTTCCCAACCTTTTCCTTGTGAATTTAACTGCAGAATTACTACGACCCCCGCGATGACAAAGGACAGCTTATTTTCGTAACGAAAGACGTAAAATTGAAGAGGTGAAGAGTTCCTGTTTGCTTTCTTTAGTATGTGTGGTATGGTTTCATTACAAATATTTACAGCAGTGAAACATACGAGCGTGCAAGAAACGAACAATTAATTAAAATGAAATCAAAACAAAATAGTGTGTTGTCACTTACCCTTAAAACGTCAATTGCTTCACAACCTCTTGCCACGAAAGGGGCGAAAAAATTTTAGCAGTCTTCTCGTAATTTGACCGAAAATGACATTAAATTCGATCAAGCTGCTTAAACAGGAACGCACTATTGGCGGGTTATGGCAAATCAAGCTAGTGGATGGATAAATATCTGATTGGTTTGACCCATCATTGACTAGGAGCTGATATGGATAAGTGAAATGTCAAAGAGCTGTCTGTTGGTTTGCGGGGTTGAAATCGCTTCGATAGATTTTTCTGTACGAGTCGAANGCAGTGAAACATACGAGCGTGCAAGAAACGAACAATTAATTAAAATGAAATCAAAACAAAATAGTGTGTTGTCACTTACCCTTAAAACGTCAATTGCTTCACAACCTCTTGCCACGAAAGGGGCGAAAAAATTTTAGCAGTCTTCTCGTAATTTGACCGAAAATGACATTAAATTCGATCAAGCTGCTTAAACAGGAACGCACTATTGGCGGGTTATGGCAAATCAAGCTAGTGGATGGATAAATATCTGATTGGTTTGACCCATCATTGACTAGGAGCTGATATGGATAAGTGAAATGTCAAAGAGCTGTCTGTTGGTTTGCGGGGTTGAAATCGCTTCGATAGATTTTTCTGTACGAGTCGAAGAAGTGGCAGGATGTCTTCTCCACAGGTTCGCCCAAAGCTGAGCGGGAAGCACGGATTTCAAACGCGGGGGGCTGGGGACGAGCGAGAGGCGCGAGCGGGGGGTGATGGGAACGAGCGAGAGGCGCGAGCGGGGAGTGATGGGGAGGGAAAATCCCTGTTCTCCCTTCGTTCCCGCTTTCCCAATAACCCCTTTTTACAGTTGCAGGTGAAAACGAGGCTGGAGTTGACCTTGCTTTGATACAGCCCTTCCTGCTTTCTTATGTAAATCATGTCTTTCTTATGCTAACTAGTATTTTTAAGCAAAATTTACATTAGAAAAGGATCGAGGTTTTTATGAAAACAAGGTCAACCTCAGCCTCAAGTTGACTCAAAGGCTAGGACACTAAGCACACAACTGTGAACTGGCCTATTAGGAAACGTCACTCGAAAGTGAATTTGCGCTATTTCGAATTTCATTGCTATTATTCCACCAGGCTCAATTTTTCAACTGTTGGCGAATTTTCCTGGAATTGAATTCTTAAAGACCTTACTGATCCAAGTGTAGAAATAAAGAAGAAACTCGTCGTCTTGTGTTAGGTCTGTAAACGTGAAACTAGAAATTTTCCATCAAAGTGGTGCAGTGAGGGCAAAGAAATGCATCAAAAATTGATGCACGTGCATAGTTGATGTGCAGAGCTATAAGTTTTTGTTGCTGTCGCCTACTTTGCCTAGCTTATCTCCAAAGCAATCAACAGCGAGGGACTGGGGACGAGGTAGGTGGCTAATTTTATGTAAAATGAGTGTTTCATATCATTTTGCTGCGCTTTCTTGTAATGAACTTAAAAAAACATTAACTGCGTATTGAGACATTTTTTTCTATTCTTGGGGTTTTGTAATTGTTGGTCTATGTTGCAGATAGTTTGACTAAAAAGGATGAAACAAAGAAATGAAGAGACGCGATGAAGGCTGATTCGCCAACATAAAGATAAAATGGTATTTTCTTACTTGTTCAAAATGTTCCACAAATTATTACAGAACAAGACAATGTATAGCAACTGCAATGTTTTATATCTTGGCGTAAAAACTGAAATCTGGCGTTATTTTTTCTACTCTTCTTCTTCCTCTTCTTCTTCTTGTTCCTCTGAATCCCACTCTTTCCCTTCTGGTCGATCGAGGTCACCATTCTTACATTTCCGTATGCACTTTCTCCAACGACGCCCATAAATGTTCAAGCATCCGTCAAGGCACTCTTCGTCTTCGTCTCTGCATCGTTTTTGGCACCAGTCTCGACAACGCCACTGGCACGGATCTTGATCTGCTTCAGCCTGGGCATGCGCATCAAACAAGTAATCCCATATGTGGTCCCTTTTACTTGGTTTCTCCGCTTGAGGGACGAATCGCTTAATCACGAAAGGGCTCCCTCTTAATGCCCTTTTCTCAGCTTGTGGGACATCCGAACGGACAAGTAATGACTGAGTAATAACCAAAAGGAGAAGGACAACGCAGAAAAAAATTTTCATCTAAAGAGAAAAATAAAAGTCTGATGTTAAACCTCGGGGTACCCTAGTTAGATCACTGGCGAGACGCGTAAAGAGCAAAGTGCTCAATTTCTGGCCTCTTCGCGAATCGTTTTCTCGGCTTCGCCGCTCAATCCTGTTGCCCCCGAAGAGAAGGATCAAATCTTCTGGCACCCAGAGTACCTCCGGGCCATTCTTTTTAGAGCCCGTCATTTCTTTTGGTCACGTTTGTAGTCTGGCTTTTCCACTGACCAAAAGCTCTAACTGTTGAGCCTCTGCATGAAATTCCTAAAAGTGTGTTCATTCAACGGTAATTCAAATGAACTCTACTGTGAAGTATTCAGTCCCTCTTAAGGTGATGCGGTACAAAATTTAAACAAGCTCCTACTCTCCTACTTTTGCCAAGTGTGCGGTGGAATCCTGCATTGTAACCATTTCTTGTTACAAACAGTCTCGATCAATGTTCAAGACAACTACAGAGCGCCTCCTCTCCCATAACAATATTAAAACAGCATTAAAAACATTTTAGTTTTACCTTGAAGAACTTGACAGGAATGATTCTGACAGAAATCCAGGAGATTTAGGCTCAGTCCGCCCTTGATTTAAGATACCAGTCCCAAAAGCGTTGCTGCTAATTACCTGTCGAAGCAACTTTATACTTTTTACGATAGCCTCGCTCACATAAAAAAAAAAATTAATTAAACTCGTTGGTAATATTGATTTATCGTGTTTGAAAACTTTGGTGCAATTTGATAACACTTCTCATGGAGCTTGTGACGTGTATCAAAAGAGTCCACTATAGGGAACTGATTTTAACTTGAAACAATCCGGCTTCTTGAAAATGCAATGTGTTTTAATTTAATGTTGTTCAATACAAGAACTGTACATTTTATGATTTCGGGGGATAATCGAAATTATTTTTTGTTCTATTTGACACTCGCACAAAGAGAAGTTGTTTGTTGGGGGATGGAAATAAATTAGGAAGCATTTATCATATCTAATTGATCTTCATGCTGTCAAATATTGAATTTATTATGACAAGTTTGAAACAAATGCCTAACACGAGGAACGCTGTCATGACAGAACCAACAACAAAAAAAATGAGGATCAATGTCTCCTTGCCGATTAAAACACTCTTCGGAAGAACCATCTGATACTCCACTCGTTATAATCATCCAGTACTTTCCCAGTTGAAACATCTCAACATAAATTATTTTTGAAAACATGTAAACTGGTAAAACACCTTTAATTTTTCTAATTCTAGATGAGGGCGAATTTAATCTGATATAGAATTGCAAAAGTCCACCAAATGACATAACTCTCCAAGTTTTGAAATTAGCCAAGCTATAGCAAAGAAAAAAAAGAAATGAAAAAATGAAAAAAAAACCAAAGGAACTCAGGGAGAATTAAGTTTGCTTTTGATATCTGACTGCTCAAATTCTTTTCATCGGATAAGTTGTCTCGCTTCCTTTTTCATGAGTCATGTAAAATTAGGTTTTATTGTACGACCTTATATGAAATTTTGTGTGTTTGCTAAGGAAAAGTCAAGACAAAGGATCCTTAATCAATTCAGTAAAAACATAACAAAGGAACGATAGGAAAAATAATAAGAGCACAAGATGATTTACGAAACCTGAGAGATCAGTTAAAAGACTAATCGAGAATTTTTGTTTTTTTCAGCTGGGGTTGGAAGCTAGGTAATTAGCTACCGTGAGATATAGAAAACCTGACATGTTAAAGCTGAAAGTCAGCCGTTCGTTTATTAAAGAAAACGGCTCGCCCCAACTGAATAGGTCTGTTATTATGAAGTGTCGTATTTGAATCTGCTAGCTCTTACGGTGGGCAATTTGGGTTGTCAGGCCACTCAAATTATAAACCAGATTTTCGGATTTTTTTTCATCGACTTAAACCAGTATTTCTTTAGGCTTTTCTCGCTTTTTCTTGAAAGAAGGTGCGAAAAACAAGTTGTTTAACACGTCATGTTAATTTTTCTTTAACACCGATGTCTAGGATTTCCTTTTGTGGGTTTCAAAAAGAGATTCATTTTTTCACATGTTACCTTATTCAGCTTAATCATCACAGCGTAAACCAGTGGCTGTGAAATTTAAATACTGCGTTTTTACAAAGCTTAAGAAATTGAAAGAACGAGGCAGGATCCTGCCCGAATCACCTAGAAAAACAAACTACTAAAACAGGCTCACAGGGCAGTCTTTAGTCTCTAAGCTTCCTTTTGTTCTCTTGCCCTCCCTTTAGTCCGCACCAGTTCTGGGAAAGCTCCCCCAGGCCTCTCCCGATTTTGCTCTTAAAATGCTGGACAGCTGCTTACCTGAATGCCAAAAACTTGCTGAAAAAACGTCCGAAAAGTTGCTTCTTAATTAAATTTCAAAAACTGCTTCCGAAATTCCTGGATCTTTTAATATGAACGGCAAATAATTTCTTTTTTCGTTCTTCACAATACTTGCTAACATTGGTCGAGGAAAATAGTTTGAAACTTAGAATAAAGTATCGCCCGCTTTGATGAGAGAAAATTTAAGAATATCAATTAATTATTCATACGCTAATAATTGCCTTTTTAGGCCTACGAGGCGAGGGCATGCGAGAGGTTGTGTGTTTAAAAGATTGCTAAACATTCAGCAGAGAGGACTATCCTCTCTTGACATTTAAGAAATTTCAATAAATTGAAGTTTATCAGGAGTTTATGGAATCGCTGACTTTTTGGACCTTGATATGTGCTCTAAACCCGTATTTTGCGTGTATTTTACTCAAAAATTGCTCAGAAAGACAAATAAATTGCTTGAGGTTGCTAGAACTGCAAAAAGTTGCTCCAAACGCTGAAAGTTGCTCAAAATCCGGAAAGGCCTTCCCCCTACCCTCCCCCCGAAAGTAGATTTTAGCCTAACCCAGCCGCAACGCTTAGGGAGTACTAGGGACTAGATGACCTCGGGGTGGGAGGGAAGGGGGAAGATTCTATTTTTTTCGCGAAGCGAGGAAAATTCCTTTTCGCGAGGAATTACTCTCTTTTGGGACATTTTTATATTTTATATTTTTATATTTTGGAGAATTTTATTTTTTAATCCGAGAGGAATTTTTATGCTTTGTTTTTTGTTGTTCTTAGAATTAACACTGATAAATAAATAAATGGATGAATGAAAAAACGTGTAAAGTAAATGGCAAATAAATCAATAATAAATAGATAAATAGATATATGAATGTATTTATTTATTTATTTATTTATTTATTTATTTATTCCGCTGTGTAAGCTCATACTCGAATGCAATCAATCTTATATTTGGACCATGGGACGGGTACTTGGTGGGTCAAAAGCACAAAGGAGACTAGGCCAGGAAGTAGAAAAAGGAACGCCTGGCAATTATCATATTCCTGAATCTGACCTGTTGTGAGCTCTGCAACTTCCATAAATTAAAGTCGCAATTTGTTATGTTCGAAAGGAAAACCATGTTTGGCATTGCTGCTGTTGGACTATCCGCGGTTGCTGGTTACGGTCTTTACAAATATGTTCGTGCAAGGCAGAAGGCACAACAAATAAAAGATGCGATTGATGATATGGTATGTTCGAGAAAATCCTCATTGATTTTTGCTCCATTTTAAATTATTTTCGTTTGATCGTGTGGCTAATGTATACTTAGAAATGATTTTTAAAAAACGTTTTAAAGCTCATTTTTGAATTTTCGGGTCAGCCATAGTGACCAAATTTTCTGCGAACTGATACGTGCTTATTTCGTATCATCAAAGCATCAACTTTACGAACATGTTTCTGACTAAAAGAAATCTATCCGCAATAAATATACTTCGGGCTAGTCTTAGGTTTTAAAACGACGTTGTGTGTGTAATTAGCATATTAAATAGCCCTTGTTTGTCGTTTAGAGCCAAAAAGAGTGCTTGAGTTTTTTTCACGACTCTCGCGTCAAAAGATTATCCTTAAAAAAGCTATAATACCGATTTAATTTAAACGCACGTGTTGTCGTAAAGAAATCCTTGTTGATTGAAGTTCAAATTTTTATTTTTGAGGCTAAAGGTTTACCAACGCAATAATTATTTTAATATTGATTTACCTCAGAGCTGAAATGAGCATCAACAGCTGGGCTATGATTGATTTGTACGTAGGAGGTGCATGGTGGCGAACAAGGGGTTAAATTGACATGGGAATATCACCCTGATTCATTAAAATTTGAAATTGTACTTGCAGATGAAAAGTATTGATAAACCAAGTGTTTACATCAGAGATTCAGTCAGAGTGAGAGATAAACTCAGGAAACTCTATGAAAGTGGACCAGAAAAACTGCAGGTATTTAATGAACATGTAGCTGTAATTGCCCTTGCACATGATCTCCCAATCATTTGTTTGCTGCCATTCATTAACTTGAATTTTTTATTCTGGAATTTGATCGTAACCATATCTTTAACAAAATTATCCAAGTGAAGAATATTACTTATACAGTGATTGAATATCTCATAGGTCATCTCAGACTTTGACAAGACTCTCACAAAATTTGTTGTCAATGGGGAAAAGGGCTGTACTGCGTATGGTGAGAAACTTTCCATAGTGATATTAGTCAGTAAACAATATTACCCAGTCTGCCGTCTTTTTAAAAGGGAAAAATTTCTATCGGGGAGACACACATTACTGAGGCTCTCTTAGGGTGGGTATGTGTTTCCGTAGTCTGAATTTTAAAACTTGTTGAATTGTGTATTGAGGAGGAAGCAAGCCCCGGGATTTCATGGTAATAATCGTGTCCTGTACCCTGTCCTTACCTTGGTTGAGAAAGCCTTGTCCCTGTCAGTAAAAAGATTATCCCTACTTTGCTTGACCATATTTGGCACTTGACCAATATTTGGGTTTAGGTGAGCCGCTGAGGGTTTGAAACCCTTACCCTGTTTAGGGCAGAGTCACATAAAAATTAAATACCCTATTTAGGACAGAGAGGTAAAAAATCATACCCTGTCCAGTGGCACATGCTGTATAAGGGGGTACCCCACACCCCATCCCCCCGGGGGTTCCTCCCTCACGTGGCCATACTGCCAAAAAATTACCCATTTTACACTTTAATTTGCACAGGAGTCATTGAGAGCTACAAGAATTTTCCAGAATCATACAGAGAGAAGGTGATTTGTAGGAGTCCATTAAATTCCAGTTTGTAATATTTATACATTAACCAAGAATTAGGCAATGTTGCTACAACTAGAACTGGAGAACGACAGAGGATTGTCCCTGCTTTGCAATGGCTTACCTAAAGCAAAAGGCTTGTGGGTGTATCCCAGTGTTTTTTGCACCAAACCAACAAGAAAAACATTTTTTTTGACTGACTCTCCTCCACAGCTTGACAGGAGTGTTGTGGAATGAGTACTGAATCTTTTTTTGCAGGGAGAGCATCAATAATTAAAAGAAGCTTAGCCATTTAAAAAAAAACTATACTTTCCTCTACAAACAAAGTTGAGCTCAGTGCTCTAAGGAAATCTAAAGAGATTCCAAATGCCCTAAACTTATGAAATCCATGGTACCCATAACTTGATTAAGACACAAAGGAAATTGATAGCTTTATTCATAAATCTAAATCTGGAGCAAAGTGATCATTATAGTTAAAAATAGATATTAATTTTTTTTTGGTTTTTTTTTGGAATGTGTGATTTGATTGTTGACTGACTATAGCATTATTTTGTTTCATTTTTTTCAGGCAAAACAGCTGAAAGAAAAGTATATGCCAATTGAATTTTCTGGGTCAGTAATATTATTATTTTACTTTTAAATTTGGACTTAAGCAAACAACTTAAGCAAAACTGAGATGTTTACGATACCGTTAACCATAAATCAAAATTATTTCTGTAATTTTCCAATGTGTTTAAATGCAGATGTTAATGAATATAAAATAAAAACTGTATTGACGTTTTCAATTTTTTATTTTCTAGAGACATCTCATCTGCAGAAAAAGAACCTCTTATGATAGAATGGTAAGCTTGCATGATCAGTGGAATCCTGATTTTGTAGATTCTCCTAGTGAAAAGAAAATGGTTCAGAACAGTAATAACCGATATTACATTAAAATATTACATTGTCATGCAGGGGAAGGGAAGTTTGCCTTGGTTTTAATTATCCATAAAGTTAAAACAAAATCACTGGTTTGAAACCTGGGATTCTAGCTGTAGAATATGACATTTAACTGCAGGGAGTCTCCCAAATATGGCACCAATCTCATGAACTCTCATACAGGTCATCAATCTCCCAGATAAAATCAAGTTTTGAGCTTTTCTGTGCTTGAAATTTAGCCCATTTTTTTCCTAAAAATCGGGACTTTTTTTATTAATAATATTGTATGGTTTCTGGGACATTTTTGCAGGTATTTAGTCACTGACAAAGATTATTTCATCATTACAGTGATGAAAGCAGATTTTGATACCATGTACTTCATGCAGAACTTCATATGGAGGCTGGGCCATTTTGTGGGTGGGAGAGTGGAAGTGGTAGGGCTTTTGACATTTGGGGGAGGGGGCCGGGGTGTGGTACAAAACAGAGAGTCACCAGATTGTAGATCTCCGGAGGTTGGCATCTCTGCTCAGTATGATCGACAACTGTGATAATTTTAATTTTGATTTATACATGAATAACTAGGTGGACTAAAGCTCATGAACTCATTACTGAGCTTGGTTTGAAGAAGGATGATATCACACAGGTAGTGGAAGATTCTCCCATTGCATTGAGGTAGGAAAGACTTACGAGTTGCCACCACAAACATATTGTTTAATCTGCTCTCTTGGAACCCTTTTATCTTACAGGTGGACTAAAGGAAATGAACTCATTATTGAGCTGAAAATCAAGCAAGCGCAAATTCCTGAAATAGTTAAAGATGCGCACATCGCGTTGAGGTATCTGTGAACAGCAAAGAAGCAATGCTTTATTGCAAAATTACATTTCTTATTTTCACCACAAACAGAATTTTAACTTTTATTGCACCTTGCATGCATTTATACTGACTGCTAAAATGTATGTTTACAAAATTCAAAGCACTAAATGATGGCGATTTTAAATGTAAATGGAATGATTTTCGATTTGAAATACAGCTCTTAATGAGTATTTATTTCCTTATAAGAGTATGATCAGGTTTGTTTATATTGTCATTGAATGAAATATACCATAAGAAAGTCTTTGCGTATTCAGCTCCTAACTCACTCATTGGGTCAGAGTGATTTTTGTTGCAGCCATTTAACATCATCAAGACTGGAATGAAAATGGAGAATGCTGTGCAACATAGTAAAAGTATTATTAACAATAACATTCCCATTAATTACTGAGTTTTTTAAAATAATAAAATAAAAAGGATATAAAACATAGATTTAATAATAGTTGTAGAATTTTCATAAATCAAAAGGTATAATATAATTATTGGTACATAAAGTGAAATGAACAGGAACTAATAATTATTTATTGCTAATGAAAAATATTGTGCCTGTGTTATTCATTAAACTAAATTGAATCAGGTAAAATTTGATAACTAAATAAAGGTTAAAACTAAGCTGCTAAATAGGAGTTTTACTACATTTGTAGTTAAGTAATTAACATTTTAGCCTTTTAAGCCCCAAAATTATCCACATACAAATTCTCCAGACCTATCTCAGTTAAGAGAATTTGTTTTAAGATCAAACCATTTCCCTCGGATGATTATTTTATTAAATTCTCACCGCCTTTTCTTTTGATGATGTATTGATATCATGCGGAGAAAATTGATGTTGATCACTCCTGGGACTTAAAGGGTAACATGTAAAAGGTGGATAGTGCCCTGGGGGGCGGAAGGGGGGGACTCCCATATAAAAGTGACAGGTATGCTTTTCTTCTTGCTTTGGGGTGTAAATTGCAGATTTTGGTCTCACTTAGGGTGTTTGGGATGGAAAGTCACTTAATTTGCCATTCAGGTAGCGCTAAGTACTCTGCATAAAGAAATTTACAAAAAATGCGCTGACACTGACCACAAAGAAATCTCCCGTAAGGGTCAGTTTAAGCTTGAGCCACACCCACATTGGTCTCCCTTAGGTGTTTAATTTAAACTTTCCGATAAGCATCTCCATCACTTTTATATGGGAGTTCCCCACTGAGAATAGTGCTAGCCAATAAATAATCCAATCAGTTTTCCTAATGCTTATCCAGTGGGTAGGGCTAGCTATCCAAGTACCACTTAGACCTGGAGAATAATGTGGACATAAAATATATCTTTTTGTGTGTCACCTTAATTTTTGATTTTTGCTCTACAGAGACGGTGTTGAGTGGTTATTTGTCAAGTTGCATGAGAAGCATGTACCCCTTCTCATTATATCTGGGGGTCTTGGAGGTATGATGAAAGTGCAGAATATTTTAGCAGGGCTGTCATTTTTAAGAGGCAAGGACTGGGGATTTCCCCCGACTATTAATTAGAACGTGGCCCCCGTGATTCTCCGCCTACTTATTGTTTTTACCCGGCTACTTAGAATCTTAGTGACAGCCCTGACAAATGTACTGTATTTCCTCAAATAATAGCCAGGGGTGATTATTTCTTTTTTTGCACAAAAAGGGGGCAATTATTCAAGGGAAGGCGATTATTCGAGGGAGGCAATTATTTAAAATATTGCTCACTGGAAGTCGTGCCCTAAATATTTTGTTTTATTTTTCCATTAAATCAAAAAAATAATCTCATCAAATAAACTGAACATGGGCTTTTTAAGTGTTCCAAATTTAGTTTCTTGATTAATTTTCAGAGCTTGAATCTTGCCGGATCACATTGCACTTCAACTTAACAGGGAGGGGGGGAGCGTTGCGTGACATCCAAAAAAACGGCTGGGTCAGGGAGACTAGCATACTGGTGGCTGAGACTTTTTATCAAGAGTTGGCCAGCAGACTTTTAGAGGAGCTTCTCTTCACTTTTTTTATTTTAAACTCGAAAAGAAAACAAGAAGCAACATGGCTTCAGGTAATCAGGTTAGAAATATTACTGAAAATTAAGCCCAAGGAAAAGTAAAATTAGTTTAAGTTAAGTGGGGAGTTCGAGTTAGCAGCTAGGTTCTGCTGTTTTATTCTCGAGCCTTTTTACAAGTTTGTGCATGTTTTTGTTTCCAGACATTATCAAGGAGGTCATTGATCAACAGAGTACTATCTATGACAATGTTACCATTGTGGCCAACTTCTTCAAATATGAGCAGGTTAGTCTCTTCCTAACTCTTGCACTACTTCTACAAACATTACTTTAATCTCCAGTCCTTAACTTCCTGGGGCGTAGCCAGCTTTCTACTTGTTGTAGGCCAGGCTGACTGCTAGTCGGAACATCATTTCCAAATATCCTGAAACTATCTTGTTTATATAAATTCTGTTGATTGCACTCATGACTAATACGCACTGACCTCACCATCACTCTGAGCTTTTGAGTTCTTTTGCTCAACCTCAAAATTTGTAGACCGGTATCCATAAGTCTATGGGCTGGCCACACCCCTGACTTCAGGGTCATGCATTTCAGTGAATTACCTGAAACAAATCGCCAGCTAGAGGACAGCTTTTTTCAAACATGTGACCCTATAGGAAATTGGTTTTACAGTGGAATAACTAAGAGTCACTTTAGGGAATTTGAATATGCTGCTTAATAAATGATGATTTTTTACCTTATTTTAAAATACCAGGGCGTGATGGTTGGATTCAAGGACAAGCTTTTGTTTAGTAACAACAAAAGAGAGATGACAAAAGATTTGGAATTTTTCAACAGAAATAAGGTAAGTTATCAATAATCGACCACCACACAACAGACTGCCAGTGTTAACCAGATGTGATAAAAAAAATGTTGTTGATTAAAAAGTATAAACCATGAGCGACGAGGCGTCAAGGATTTATGGGTTTATATTTATTAGCAAAGCAAATTCAATTTGTTTTAGAAAAGCTCACATTATCCTGATTGTCACAGGCTTCTTGCGTGTATGAAAATCCCGGATCATTATACGTTTCTGGGAAACTGCCCACCTACCCCTCCCCTAAGCCAACATTAACACTTAATTTCACTTAGAGCAAAATGTTGACCTAGGGGAGGGGCAGGTAGGCAGTTTCCCAGAAACATATAATGATCCAATCCCGGATCATGGGTTACTTTCTTCAAGGCATGCCATTTTTAGCTCATCCCAGAAAATTTTTAGGTCTCATCTTATGATTGTCAAGTGTACATTTGCGATGTGGCTACTCAATGTATGCTTGATAACTAGAGAGATCTCTGAAGAAATGGTAGACT